CACTGGCACCTTTGTCAAGAACCAATTGCCCATGTATGTGAGGATCTATTTCTGGACTCTCTTTTCTCTTCTATTGGCCTATCCATCTTCCTTTTCACATATGATACACTGTCTTAATGATGGTGCCACAGAATAAGGCCACAAATCAGGTAGTGTAGGTCCTCTGACTTTGTTCTTTCTTATCTTAGTGGCCAGAACTGCATCAAATGCCCATTCCCAGCCCAGTCCCTGGCAACGGGAGCGGGATGACAGACGTGCCTACCCAGACAGGAGTTCCCTTGGGGAGGGGAAAGGGTCGTCTTTCCTCAAGTCACAGGGAAGAAGAGTAGACAGTGGACCAGAAAGCTCGCGGAAAAGTCAGACTTTCCAGAAAGAAGGGGCCGGGGAGGGGGAGACCTCAGGGTAAGAAGCCAGCAGTGTGTGCCAAAAACCACAAAACTGTTCAATGGGGCTTTTAATTATGAGAGAGAGGGAGAGAGATAGAGAGAGAGACAGGACAAAAGAATAAAAGGGACAGACAGTAAACCTCAACTCACTCTGGATATTCTTGCCAGCCACCAGTGACAATGATAAAGTGACATCATGACCATAAATGACAAATGACAACAAGGCTTACGGTACAGGACAGTGAGCAATGACCCCTGCCAATGAGGCGGGCCCCTTGCCCTCAATGACAGCATCAGGGACTCAGCGGCCTGTGAGCTCCATCCAGGGGACCATGGGCCTGTCTGGGTGACAGGGAGCAAGTCTTCAAGTTCTTGAGTTCTTGGCTCTGCTTAGTTCATTTAATTGTTTGTTCTTGAAAACAAGGAGATGGGCAACAGTTCCCGTGTCTCTTGAGAGGCTCAGATATTTTTGGGATGGTCTCAAACTATTCCTTATGGTGCATGTGATTTGGAGGCTGGCTCCATAGAAGGAATGGATTCAGCAGTAAATTACTCAAGTGCCTGGTGCCCGGAGCCCTCGGCATGTTACGCAGAGGCCAGCTTCCTGGCCGCAACTCCTCATCTGTAGTAGCTCCATCTTCCCGAGTTGTTTGTCCATTCCTCTGACTCCCTGCTAGTTCTGTCCTTCAGGGCCCTCGCTTAATTCTTTAATTCCTTCTAGGAAAGAGAAACCAGGCTTTCAGACTTTTCAGGCTCTGGGTGGGTGTCCATGACCTCGGGCAGACTCACCTGCTTGTCTACACGGTTGTTTTCTCCTCTCATGTTGCCCAGCAGTTTGGTTAAATGCGGGTGGGGGGTGACTTTGCAGCATGTCTAAGAGGCTAAATATCTGAGTCTTGAGTCCAAGTCCAGCCTGAGTAGCTGCTCACCAAGCTCCACATTAGTTCTAGAAGTCCTGCTTGCTGGGAATCCTGTCCAAACCACCCCTGCTTTCTGGGGCAGCATGGAGTGGTGCAGGCGATCACAGGTTCTGGACAAAGGCAGTTATGATGTGATGTCCAGCCTGGACACAGGACTTCACCTCTCTGAGCCTCAGTTTCTTCATGTGTCCCATAAAGAGTGAATAGTGACCATAGCAGTTGTTAGAGGGGGTCTTAAGCAGGGAGTCTGGCACCCAGTAAGGACTGGGTATTAGTATTTTACTCTTTCAGAGGAACGGAGCAGATTCCTTCAGGGAGAGGGCTTAAATGGAACAAGATGACAGGTGGTTTTTAGAAACCCGGAAGTCTAATATGGCTGAGACTTGGGTGTACTTTGGGACTGGGACATAAGGAAGCCTAAGGAAGGCCTGTTGTTATGGAGGGGCCACTTCCCTTTGACCGGCCAAGCATCCAGGGCCCCAGGTTCTGATCCAGCCTCTCCGCTGGTCTTGGGTCCCCACTGCAGACATAGTGGACAGGACTGGATTTTCAAGCCAGGGCTGAGAGTGGTGAGCTGAGCAGTAACAGTGCTTGCTCCCTCTGAGGGGAGAGGCCAGGCCCACATGTGGTGTGTTAGGACACAAACAGCTCCTCTGAGACTGTTCCTTCTGGAAATAGGGGAAAAATGTGAATTATCTGGAGCTCAAAAATGTGGGCTCCCAGGCGGCCTGGAAAGACGAGGTGGTGGGGTGGAAATTGATGGATGAGACTTGGTTGTGTTTTCTCTGAGCCTTCTGTGCTCGCGCATGGTCCTGCAGGCCATGTGTACTTGGACGGCCATGGGCTGCGGCCTTGGGGAGCACTGAGCGCCTGGCCAGGCCCATGCTGGGGCAGCACCTCTGGCCGCCCTAGATGAGGTGCCAGGTGCCAGCCCAAGGTTCCCTTCTGGGCAACTGGAGGCCTTACCACGATGAGCTCCAGCACTCTCCTGCATCCTGCCTGTGTCTCCAGGGGCCCCCTGCAGGTGGTCTTGGAGTTGTGGGGCTGGAAGAACCATCAGAGGCCATCTTGTCAGCCCCCTCTGTCTCAGATTACCCTACAAATGGAGACACCAAGGGCCAGAGGCATGGAGAGGCTTGCTCAAAGTCACAAGGCTATTTCAGGGCTCAAATCCATGATTCCATTTGTCCTCAGGATCAGTCCAAGGAGAAGCGTCTTGTTTTCTTTGGGGCCAGTTCTGCTCTCACATCCTCGGGGAGTAGGTTTATGGCTTCTTGGCATCCACAAGTTCTACCCTCTGAACTTCTGCCCCGCTGACCTTTCTGCAATGCACATTGGATCAGGTTGCTCCCCTGCCTGACACTCTTCACCAGCACCCAGCTTTGGTGGAATCTCCTACCCTTTGCAAGACATTTAAGGTCCTGCAGGATCTGGCCTGTGTCCTCTGCCATCAGCCTCCAGCTGCCCTAGGCTAGTAGTACTAGGTCTCTTGTGTCTGCCTGCCTTTGCACATGCTGTTCCTGCTCCTCAAATGCCCTTCCCCTCTTGTTCTGGAAATCTTCTCAGGCCCTTCTGTGGCCTCCTCTGACCCCTAAGGCTCAGCCACTCCTTCCTCTCAGAGGAGCTCTTGGTAACTCCACTATTAGCACTTATGTCATTGACTTAGAATTATTTGTTTATGTGCCTCTTCTCCCCAGGGTAGGAAGCATGTCTTACACATCTGGATGCCCCCCACCCCCAACAGTGCCTAGCAGAGTGCCTGACACCCAGTGGGCTCAGCCCATGTTTGTGGAGTGAATGCCTGAAGGACATGTCGGTCTCCAAAGGTCCCCTGTACTGTGCCTGAAACGTCACCATCTGTGAGGCCTGCTTGGTTCCTGGCTCCTGTTCGGTTTTGCTTTCCCACAGCTGGGGCCTCTCTTCTCTCTCCAACAGCTGGCCCAGCCCTGCCCGGGCTCTGGGGCCAATCATGGCCTGAGCCCAGGGACATTTAAAGAGCCCATGTTTGGAAGTGCAGGTAACTCAGCCTCCGTGAGCCTGGCTGGGCTCTGCTCTCACCTGAGCCTGGGCACCTGGCTCCCACCGTATCCCAGAAAGCAGGCAACTCCATGGAGACCATGCTCCCTGGATGCCTGCTCTTTTTATGCCAGAGCCTTGCCCTGCTCTAGAACTGAGTGTCTGAGGATGTTTTCTGCCTCCCCATCATGGCCAGTGCCCAGGTACCGGGCCTCTCTAATGCCCACTGACCCATTCATGTGGCATACCTTCCTTGGGCACCTACTGTATGCCAGACCCCAGGTCTCTGCTGCCATAGAGCTCACAGTTGTGGTGGGTGGGGCAGACCTGCAGAGATGACACTGGTGATCATGTGGTCAGTGCTAGGACATGGGGTCGGACAGGGGGCTGTGGGGTCACAGGGCAAGCATGCTAAAGCAGCCTCAGAGGTGGACTGTGAGCTGAGATCGAAGGGCAAGGGGTGGGGGCCTTCCTCCTGGTTGAAGGTTCTGGAGGGGCCAGGGCTGGACAACTGTCCCGCAGCTCAGCCACAGGCCCAGAGCCCTCAGCCATGTCTTCCCAGAGGAGGGGCTGGGGGGTGAGGACGGAAAGGTGCCCTCTCACACGGCTCTTGAGACCAGGCACGCTCACAAAGGCTGTCTCTTCTCTACCCATTCAGGCACCGTTTAGTGAGTCCCCATCACATGCCAGGGACTGGGCTGGGAATTGGGGGCTGATCAGGGGAACCAGGACACAGCCCTGCCCTCCGGCTACCCCGGGGCCAGTGCAGGGAGGAGGGGGGAGAGGCTTAGCAATAAGCCACAAGAACACAGCCTGATGAGCAGGGAAAGCTGTTAGGGCTGGATGGGCAGGTGGAGCCCGGGCAGTGCTCACGGCACACACACGTCCCAGAATCCTCACATGCAATCAGTCCGTGGGCCCTGGTGAGGCAGCTGCGCAGCAGGGCATCCCCACCTTCCGGAGTGTCGGGGGACCCGGGACAAAGTCTTGCCACACTTAGGGGAGACCACAGAGCCTAGGCGCTTTAAAGTGTAGAGACATGGCTTCTATCCCCGTCTCCACCACTTGAGAGCTGAATGACTTTGGGCAGAGCTGAATGACTCGCCCTCTGCTCATCTGTAAATTGGGTTTGGTGTTAATCTTCCATCTAGGGTTGCAGTGAGTCATTGGAGGAAGGTACAACTATATGAAACTATAAGCTTAGCACATAGTAGGTACCCAACGTATGGTGCTTGATTATGAAAACAGTGATAATTATAACTGGGAACCACTGATCTATGCGGAAAGAAAAGGCCTGGCAGAGTCTGGGTGTGTGCAGGTTTTAGGGGGCTGAGGCCGCTGCGGCCCGGTCTCGGGGGCGGCGTCACCTCCCCCTCCCCGCCCCCGCAGCGGGCGCGCGGTGGGCGGGAGGCGCAGGTGTCCGCCGCGTCCCTGCATCCGTCCCTCGGCGCCTTGGCCACGGCCCCAGCTCTCCTCTGCCGTCCGCCCCGCGTCCTCCCCTAACCTCGGGTCTGGACCGGCGAGCCGCGGGCCGGGAAAGTTTGAGTCACCGTGGGGGGAGCGGCGGAGGCGGGGCCGTGACCCCGAACGGGGTGGGCTCTAGGACCCGCCTCGGGCTCCCAGCAGGGGGACCCCGCCGCCAGCCCCCGTCCCGCGCGCACCGGCTGCTACCCGACGGAGCGGGACGGCGCGCTGCAGGCGCGCGCTGGGCAGCCGCTGGGTGCACCGGGCGGCGAACGCGCTCGCACCAACCTGCGCGCCGCGCAGGCAGAGCAGCAGCTCGAGCGCCGCAGTCCGCACCATGCCCCGTACGCCGCTCCTGCGGCTGCTGCTGGCGCTCTCCGCCGCCGCGGCGGGGGCCGGCGCGCCCGGGCCGGCGCTGCCCCCCATCACGGGGGACGCCACCCTGGCCGTAGTCTTCGACGTCACCGGCTCCATGTGGGACGACCTGATGCAGGTGATCGACGGCGCCTCGCGCATCCTGGAGCGCAGCCTGAGCCACCGCAGCCAGGTCATCGCCAACTACGCGCTGGTGCCCTTCCACGACCCAGGTAGCGCCCCCCGGCGTCCCCTCCGGGCGCCCCGTCGCGGCTCGCTCTTCCGCTCGCCCGCCGCTTGTGCGCCCCGGCGCACCTGGACCCCGTGGGCTGCCCGGCACCTGAGCGCGGCGCCCTCCCCACACAGTCGCTCTTCCCGATCCCAGGCACCTGGGCAGCCCTCGCAGCCGCCCCTTCCTGCCGCAGGGAACCTGCTATGCCCGCCTCCCACGCCTCCAGGTCGCTCTGTCAGGCTAGTGACGGGATAGCTGGGCTCATTGCGTTCAGATGCCATGCAGCCACCTCTTGCTGTGCGCCTTCAGCAAGCGATGTCACCTACTTGAGTCTAAGTTTCCCCATTAATGAAATGGGGTGAGACCTGCCCTGCCTCCGAAACTGTCTGAGACTTTGAAATGAGGCGTTTGTGTCCAGGATCTGGCACGCGATGAGCCTTTACGGGATTTGCATTTTTACTAGGTGTTACTTCTTAGAAGCGGCTCCCAGCATGGGCTTCGGAAGCCACAAGAGCCCTGGAAGGCAGGCGAACTCACCCTGCTGAGTCTTGCCCGGCCACCCTTTCTCTCTCCCCTCTTCTAGCCAGGTGGCCTCATTCTCACTGCTCGGTCCCCTCTTCTCCCCTGCAGGCAGCACCTTGTCCCCTGCAGCCCCCTAACTTTCAGTTCAGTGTTAGGGGCACCCCCTGCCGAGTATGCTGAGTACCTTCTGCATAACAGGACTGCTTTTTTCTCCAACACTTCTTAATGAAAAAATTTTAAATTTAACTGCAAAACAGGTACGGAAAGGCATTGAACATTCGGCTTCCAGCCACCTAGATCCTATGATTAATATTTCACTGTTTCCTTATCATATGTCTCTCCATCCATCCACCTTTCTATCCAGAAGGATAGTTTTATCAAGCCACAAAAGAAAATAAAAACGGTGGATTCCTTGCAAAATCGTACTGCTGAGGACAGCACAATGGCCCAAGGCTGTATGATATTGTGAGCCCTTTTAGAAGAATTTGCTTTTATTAATCACATCACTACAGTATTTGGGAAACAGGCAGCAGCGGTGTGACCTAATCCCACACAGGAGCCCTGGATTCTGTACAGCTCAAAACTCAAAGCCCCAAAGCCCCCGGGTCTAGAATAAGGTTTCCGAGGACATCAAGGAGTCCCCACCTCAGGGTCAGGGGACAAGAAGGTTGGGGGAGCCCTGAAGGCATGGGTTGTGAGGTGTGCCCTGAGGCTTCCGTTCTGACACGGGTTACCCTTTGTTGTTGTCCAACTCCCTCCCTTTCTGGATCATTCTTGGACTTCCAAAAACATCATTGAGAGAGAATCAGAGAAACTGAGGCTCAGGACGCAGATGGGACTTACCTAAAGCCACTAACCAGGATGATGTAATTTCTGATTCATAATTCTGATTAGTCTCTAGAATGCTTGCCCGCCATCGCAGGGCATTCTAGCAGTTGGCTGGAGCGAGCCGCAGTGAACCAGGGCCGGGCTGGGCCCTGGGGGCTGTCCTCACTGCACCCTCTCTGGCTGTCAGCTCCTTGAGGCCCCCTCCCATCCCGGCCTTTCCACTCCTCCCTGGGCACTGAGCAGGTGTGAGACCTTCCCTCCATCCTCTATGGAACCAAAAGCCCAATCCTCCTCCCCTGTCCCCCAAGCCACCCTCCCTACAGACACCTCCAAAGTCCAGGCGCCGAGGGGGACCTCAGCATTTACCGAGCCCCTGCTGTGTGTGGTTCCTAGTGTGAAGGGGGCAGGGTTCACACCAAGGAGCAGGTAGCCTGCCGGCAACAGGCCACACAGAGGGTAGAAGGTGTCACACTCTGGTTCCCACACGCGCTCCTGACGGTTGTGCAGTGGGGGAGGGGACTAGATAAGGGCGCTCTGAGGAAGCAGCATTGGGGCAGGATTGAAGAACATGTGTGAATGTTTATTAGCTTTGACCATTTGCCCAGCCGAGGCTAGGTGCTGGGATGCAGTGGGGACAGAGCCTGAGCACATGGCACTTTCTGGGTGGAGCCTGACATGTCGGGACAGGTGTGTAGGGGAGCCAGGGCATAGAAGGAGTGACACGGGGAAGCAGGAAGGGGTGAGATTGGTTTGGACTGTGACTTTGGGTCTGAGGATTTAGAGCACTTGGATTTCCTTCTTTGGACTGTGAGCAGCCACTGCAAGTTTCTGAGCCGGGATTAGAGCCGTGGTTTAGATTTCCGCTGTGTCTTTTGAATCAGCCAATGGAATTCTCTTCGATGGAAGAGAAGCTTCACAAACAGGGGTTTTAGCAGAGCGGGTCCCCCAGGGCTGCATGCTGGGAAGGCCTTCTTAAAGGAATCCCCTAGGACCAAGCTTTGCAGGGAAAATATCAGTGGTTCTGGACTGCACATGCCTGGAGATAAACCAGGACGTGTGCCTTGGAAATATTTTATTTAAAGTTTTAAATGAAAGAAAAAGGCGGGTATAGTCCCAAACTCAAGAGTTAGAATTTTGCTAATGGTTTCATTTTGGCTGAATATTCAGTTCGTTTTCAGTTCTTCTCTATTAAAATGTTGCAAAAAGCACCCTCACATGTAAATCTTTGCATCTTTCATTGGTTTTTCTGTAGAATTTTCTCGAAGGAGAATTTCTAGGTCGTTTTGAACACACTGTGTGGGTGGGAACTCTTCAAATTGTTTTCCAAAATGTTTCAGGAGTTGAAATTTCCACCAGAAGTCTTTGAGGGGCCCGTTTCAGAGTAGCCACCCCCAACACTGGGAATTAGGAAAAAAACATTTATCCCTAATTCAGAAGATGCAAAATGTTATCTTCCTATTTTAATTGCTAGTGAGGTTCAGCACATTTTTGAGTGATCACTGGATTTTTTTTTTTTTTTGGTGTGAATTTCTTCTTTTCTCAGTCATTAGCACCTTTCCTTATTTTTCCACTGGAGTTTTAGTGGTTTTCTGACCAGTCGGTATGAGGGTGTTATATTGATGATATTAACTGGCTGTTGTTATGAGGTTAGTGTTTTTCCTGGGGGGTGGGGTTGTCTTTTAGTAATGTCTGTGATTTCTGATGTTTTGAAGTTTTAAATGTTTGTGTAGCAAAATGCATTGACTTTTTCCCCTTGTAATTTCTTCAGTCATGCTTAGAAAGACTGCTTTTTCTACCACAAAGTCAGGTTCCGTGTTCCAGGCTTTTTCATGTGTTTTCTCTCTGTTTTTCTTTATATTTAATCTGGAATTTAAAAAATTGATGCATGGTGTGAAAAATAATGTGATTCTTCTAGTATGGGGTACTTAATTGTTCAGGTACATTTGGTTGAATACTCCTTCCTTTTTTCATTCATTGAATCCAGCCTTCTTCCCAAATTATTAACAATTTATCTGGGCTTTCCATTCTGTCCCGTTGTATGCCAGCTTTGGTGCCAGGAGCACATTATATTCATTACTTGGCTTTATAATAGGTACTAATATGACAAACTGTCCTCATATTCTTTTTATTAAAAAAAAAATTCCCCAGCTTTCTTGACATATAATTGACCCATAATATGGAGTAAGTTTAAGGTATACGATGTGTTGATTTGACACATATATATATATTGAAAAATGATCACCACTATCGCGTTAGCTAACACCTCCATCCTGTCACATAATCACGATTTTTTTTTTTGTGGTGAGAACATTTAAGATCTACTCTCTTGGTAACTTTTGAGTATATGACACAGTATTATTAGGCTATAATCACTGGGCCCTACACTAGATCCCAGAACAAACTCATCTTACAGTTTGTACCTTTTAACCAACATCGCCCCATTCCCTCCACCCCATAGCTGCTGGTAACCACCAATCTCGTTTCTGTTTGAGTTCAGATCCCACCTATAAGTGAAATCATACATCATTTGTCTTTCTCTGACTGTATTCACTCAACATGATGCCCTCAAGGTCCTTCCAGGTTGTTTCAAATGGCAGGATTTCCTTCTTTCCCATGGCTGAATAATACTCCATTGTGCATATATATATACCACATCTTCTTTACCCATTCATCTGTCGATAGTTGAAAAAATGTAATAAGCTTTACATTTTAGAACAGTTTTGATCTACAGAATAATTGCAAGGATAGTACAGATGTTCACATATAACACCCCGCCTTCCCTGTTATTAACATCTAACATTACTATGGTATGTTTATCACAATTAAGGAACCAATAGTGGCATATTATTCTCAACTAGAGTCCATTCTTTATCCCAGTTTTCTCATTTTCTGTCCCAGGATCCCAGCCAGGACACCACAGTACCTTTAGCTGTGGTGTCCCCTTAGCCTGCTTTTGGCTATGACAGTTTCTCAGACTTTGTTTTTTGATGAGTATTGCTCAGTATGTCCCTGCGCTGTGATTTGTTAGTGTTTGTCTCCAATTAGACCGGGTCACAGGGAGGAAGACCACAGAGGAACCATGCCATTCTCATCACATCACATCAAGGGCATGTGCTGTCAATATGACATCACTGTTGATGTTGACCTTGATCACCTGGCTGAGGTTGCCAGGTGTCTCCACTGTGAAACTGCTCTTTTCTTTCTCCCTTTCCTCACTGTCCTCTTCAGAAGAAAGTCACTTTGCACAGCCCACACTTAAGAAGTAGGTATTGGGCTCCACCTTAATAAGGGTGAAGAATCTACATAAATTATTCATAGCTCTGCACAAGAATTGTCTCTTCTCCCCCATTTATGTATTCGATCATTTATCTATCAGTATGGCTTCATGGATATTTATTTCATACTTTGGGTTATGATCCGATATAATTTCATTTATTTTTTTGCTCAAATGTTTCCATCTTTGGTTTTCAGAAGCTCTTTTAACTGGCTTCTGTGTGCCTTTGACATATCCCCATTGTGGCATATATATATACGTATATTTTAAAGCACTTTCTTACTTTCTGGCACTACAAGATGTTCCAGATTCATCTTATATGTTTCCTGCCCCAGTCCTAGAATTCTCCAAAGAGCCTGGTTCCTTTTGTTTAAAAA